TGATAGCTAGGTGAATCCAGGCTCAGAAGGTGCTAGTGCTGCAGATCCTTCTGACCTGGGGATCCCCGTCTGCTGTCCGCTTCCATCTAAGGAGTGTGCTGCAGGTTTTGCTTCTAACTCCCTCCTCCACTAATTTCTTCCTGTTTCTTCATTTGGCACATGGCTCCCACTTGGGTCAGGCTCCCTGTTTTAATTAGTTCTCATCCACTGACAGCTCCCCTGTTAGCTGGCTTCACAGCTTGACTACATGACTAAAAGGAGAACTTGATAGCCATCTGCATGTGTTTGAAGGGTGTAAATATCAAGGCTTCATAGGAATTATGGGGGGGGGGGGGGGGGAGGGAGAGAGAACAAAGCTACAGAACTAGAAGCAAGGGAATACATTTAAGGAAAGGGAAATTTCAGGTGTGAATATCCATCTCAATGAGAAAGAGAGTGCTTGATTATAGAAGCTTCTACTTAGCAAGGGTGGGTAGCTGCTTCACAGGAACCTTTAACTCAAAGGACAGGATATTCAGAAATGCCCCTACATGATTTAATAGGTCTTTTCTTGCTCCAGGTTCAGTGACTGACCATCTGCTAAAATAGAACTCATACATCACACAAAATAGGTCTCATGAGAGAGACCCTGAGCAAAAGGGATGGGGTACAGCAGGTAACTACCACAGCATGACTGTCTAGTACAAGAGGTCCGCTGTCGGCTGGCAGAGTCACTGGGACCACTGAGGGCAGAGCTGGGAGGCTTTGAGTTCTAATCTTGGCTCTGACTCGCTGCATGGCCTCAGCCAGCTCTTTCATGGGGAAAAGCTACCACTTTCTTACCTTTAACTTCATCAGGCATTCGCATGTCATTAATTCCTTTGGCTTCCTTTACCAGTCACCTGCCCTTTTTACCAGTAACTTATAATCATTGCCACCCACTTCCCTTCTTTTCTATCCTTAGGATAGCATTACCATTATTATTATCTTATGTTTTATTGCTTCTTCCACATCTCCTTTGAGCCAGAATGGCTTCTTGCCCAGAATGACTTTTATTGTATCTGTGAAATACTAGATTTCAGGTATTCAGTGGTCGTGTCTATACGTGTATTAATGTGCTGTTGTTACTGCACCTTTAGTACCTCTAATATGAGGTACTAATTAAATGTGTGGTGACTGGTGTGCAGTAGCACCAGTACACGGTCTTTTTATGGCACTTAGTGTGCAGTAGACTAATTCTACTGCGCATTAGCCCACTAGCCTGGCTTTTGCCATAACGCGCTAATGCACATTAGAATTAGTCTTCTGAGCATTAAGCATCCAGTGTAGACATGCCCCATCAGATGTCCATAGACCATTTCCAGCTTTCCTTTGACAATTCCCACTTTAAATTGGCACTACTGGTTGGTTAGGCCAACAACTACTTTAAGCTTTGGAATATTAGCCCTTTTATTGTTTAGAATTTCAAACATGCAGCGGTTGGTTGATGCCATATTTGGTTTGTACAAAGGAAATGTAACTGGATCACAAGCATTGGTACCTAAGCAGCAGATGACTTCTAAGGCAGCAGTTAACTCGTTTTTGCCCATCAGAATTATCTCCAATATCGCTCATCTATGCTTATTCTAGAAATGCTAAGGATGTGTTGTTACTGTTCATATGCTACTTCCAGAAAACATTCCCCAGCTTGAAGTCATCCCACAAAATGCTGTTTTTCTTCCAGCACATTATTTACAGATACTTGAGAAGCAGCTTGTTCTGAGGCTTGATGGTCTGTAACCAACACCTCAATTTTACTTTTACTAGCTGAACTCTGATTCATCTGCCCAAAGAATCTGGCTTGTCTCTGATCCATAGACATCTGAAGTCCTGTGTTTCAGGATTGTCTATTATTCTGCCAATGGAAAGATTGCCTCTGACATGAAGTGCCACTGCCTCCCATGCTTTTTCTCATTCCGTCTTCACTGGATAAGTTGTAGCCATCAATTTTAGTGCCCCATTTATAGGACTTATCCCACTAAGTCCCAGTAATATCCACCATATGTTCCCTCTCATACATGTGTGTGTCTGACTCCTCTTGTTTCTTACCCAGCCTCCTAGGATTAATATACAAACAATTGAAAATGTGACCCTTATATGTTTCACTTGTTTTTGGATATATTGTGTGTGTCATTAAGGACAAATCTTGACTGCTAAAGAGTTAATTACAAAAATGTAGTTTAAGGGGGTGGAAAAGCCATAGTCTCCTGGTGAGCCAACCTCTGCCTATTGATTGAATTTGTTTCCAATAGGTACTGCAAAAGCTGGAGTGATCATGGGAGCTGTCATAGGAGTCCTCCTGGCCTTCTTCCTGTTCGCAGTGATTATTGTCTATTTGTTACAGTACAGAAAGAGGGACAAGAAGGATTCCCAATCCACTTACAACGGGAATGAAATAAGGTTAGAACCTCTGACACCACTTCACTGTCCACAGCTCTCACCTTACTAAATCAGGAGGGGCTCTAACACCCTGTGCATAAACCCATGCATATCAGAGCATAAATGATAAGTCTGGGGCATATGAAGGCAGATGCTTATTACTGAGCTGGCAAGACAGCATGCACACAGACTAGGGGAGAGCTTCAGATTTGGCTTGTGGGAGGTCTTGTGAAGGATTGGAGATGAATGTAGTGCTCATGGAAGGTACTAGGGAAGCAGCCCTGGAGGCTGGAATCCATCAGCCACAAGGCAGGCCCAGCCCGGGGAGCATCAATGCAAACTTCCTCATTCCCTCCTCCCTGACCGGGTCCCACATGTGGCAGAGAGGGGAGCAGCCTAGGCAGTGCTTAGCTTCTTTTCTGATGGTGCTAGCAGAAGTTATCAATTCCATGGGGATGGCTCCATGGTGCCCTCAGGGCACTGAACTGGGCACTGGCTACTAACCTGCTAGCCCATTGGGTCACTACTGACACAGCTGAGATTTCACCTGTAACTTAGCAGGGAAAGGCTCTGGCTCCAGCTAACAGAGCCCACCTGTTCTAATCCTGCTCCCGGGCGCCTGTGCCTATTGGGCAAGAGCTCATCTTGGGGTGGCAAGTGCAGCTGATCAAGCTTTCAGATTCCTAGCTTGGCTGTTTTTGATACCAGCTCTGACCACTGTAGCCACAGTTCTTTGAGGACTGGGTTGGCCCTGTGTGCATAACATGCCTTCTAGGTCCAGGGTATACAGTCCAAAGAGCACAGCCCTGTGTGCCTGGCATTAGAGCCCAAAAAGACTGTGGGCTGGAGAGAGCTGGAATATGAATGTCTTGCCAGTCTGCTGCTTTGTTGTTACCTCTTATTCTTGTTGCTCTGCGGCTGATCCAATGGACATCATTGTAGCCAGAGGAGAAAGTGAGTGGCTGGTTAGACTTGTAGCAAACAGAACGAACAACCAAACACTGAGAGAGAGTCAGAGAGTGCCCAGCATGGGCGACTGGTCCCCCCCCCGGCCACCCCAGCCAATCCGCAAGTGGCTTCCGGGTGAGCGCAGTCAGCTGTGAGGGGACCACGTCTCCTGGCGCCCCCGCTCCCCAGCCGGCGCTCTCGGGGGGGCACCAGCACTCTCACCTGCCCCCACTTGCCTGGGAACGCTGGCTGTCAGGGGGTCTGCTGGCAAAAAACGCTGGCTGTCAGGGAAGGGTGCTGTGCTGGTGAGTGTTCAGGGGAAGACTGCAATGCCAGAGGCACTCAGTAGCCTGCTACTATGGCCAACATATTCACAGCTGAATGGTGCAAATTTAGAGCAGCGTGCACAGAGGCAGCGTTGTTCAGGGAGCTCGTTGTGTGGGACTGCTGGTACTGCAGATAGACTGGGGCATGTTCACTGTGATGAGACCTCCAGTGGGTGGGAGCTGCAAGCAGAGGGACATGGCTGAGTGGTGCTGAATCCAGCTTTACAGACTGTCTTTGCTAGTGATACACTAGTGCTCTGTCCTGCATGTCCCCAGAACCCTTAAACATGGAAGGGAGAGAGGATAATGCAGAAGGGCTTGAGGAGGCTGGCGTTACCAGTAGGAGCGGACATGAGCAGTCTTGGGAATATGCAGTCAGCATTAGGTCTGCTGATGCTTTATGCCAGCTGAAGTCCCAAGCCTACATTACTGATTGATTTTTTCTTCTGTGAAAGTGAGGATGCCACTGCCCCAGGGATCACGGAAACCTCCTTGCAGAGGAGAGAGAGCGACCCTGGAAACCACTTCCTGGAACGGCCGTCGTCACAGGCAGAGTCCATGAGCACCACCAAGTCCAGACTCAACATCGTTGTCTGAGGCAGGGATGGGCTTGCTTCTGCTCTGTTCAGGAACTGCTGCTGTTTTTGATATATTACATTCTTTCTTGTTATTAATTAAGTTTTTTATTGTGGCAGATTTGCAGCAGAAGGAGGTTTTACCCACTTCAAGGAACCTTTCCTTTGTGACCTCCAGTCTGCCTAGGCAGCACTTCCCACATTGGATGTGTTGTTTGTTTTGTAGTATTTCCTCCAACATTTCATCATAACCATTTAATACGAAAAGCCGTGTTCTCTGATTGGCTGACATAAAGGGCTTATTAACCATTCAGGATGCAGGGGTTTCCGTAGTTATTATTTGGCTATTTCCCCACAAATGCATTGAGAGTGTATATGTCTCTTGATGCTGTTGCCTTCTGCTCTGCCTGGCCCCAGGACTCAGACCTACCAAGATGTGTGCCCGCAACTAAAACGCACCTCAGTGTAGCTGGAGCAGAAACCAGAAGGAGATGGGGAAATACCAGATAGAAAAGAAAGTGGAGCTAATGGGGAGCCATGAGGGTCACTGCTCTGCTCTTTAACTGAGGTCTTGCACACATGCTGGGGCCTGTATCCATCCAAACCAACTGCTTCCTTGGGCAGGGCTGTGCTGTGGACCATCACTTCAGAGGTTTCTGCTTTTTTCCTCGCAGGCTTGGACCTGTAACCTGGCAGAGGTGGGGCATCTCCTGGAGCCATGTTGTCAGGACATCCAGACCAAAATGGTTCTCTGGAGCCCTGGGAGCTCTAGCCAGGGCTGTAGTCCCACCGTACTGCATCGGGGGTTGATGCACGTGATAGACTACTCTGTTCTACTCCAGCTCTTCCCTGTGCCCCCCACAGGTCTCCCTTGACTGAACACAGAGCCTGCCCCAGGACCTAACAAAAGGTATAGAAAACACTTCTTGATGGGTTGAGACATCAAAGCATGACCTGAAAACTTGCATATACACTAGCAAAGTCTCACTTTGCTCAGCTTTGTACCACACAGCAAACACCAGCACTACCCAGAGCAGCTATTCTGTACCTTGCTGCCTTGCTGAGCTGTAAGGGGGAGAATGGCCTGCCAGAGATGGGAGGAAGCAGGGAGCAAGGGGGCTTTAGTTCCTTAAACAGCTTTTGTTCCAGTGGTGACCCAGGCCCAGTGCTGGTCTGTCATCCACACAACATTTGTGCATTGAACAGGACAGTTCAGGGCAGTGAGGACAGCTAGCATGGCTTCCTAGGCTCCATGTTTGTGCCCTGGATGAGCAGACCTCCACCCTTAGCTAAGCTAGGGTCTAAATAATGGGCCCAGGCCTCCAAGAGAAGCCCAAGGTACTGCAGGGAGTATGGCTGTGCTGGTAACCTATTCAATGCTTTGCTGCTGACTTGCTGTGTGGGCTGGGCAAGGCTCGCCCCTTGTGTGCCCCCAGCTGTACTCGGCTCTGGGACCCTGAAAGGAAGGGCTCCAGTGTCAAAGAGAGCATCTAGGAGAGGCAGGGACATGGTTCTTTAGCAGCTTTCCACTCTAATCTAGCACTGTCTCAGCACTGGGTTACAGAAGCTATGCGACTCCTCAAACAGCCGTGGCTTTCCTTAGTGTCCGGGCCCATTCCAGCATGGGGACTTTGGGCTCCTGCAGCTTCACAAACACCTGCAGCCTTGACTCAGCTGTGAGTTGAAGAAGACTGCTTTCTGGCTTCTGGGGTCCCTGCACCACTGTTATCATAGTGGGAGGGAGATCTCCATGCAGGGAGTGGGAGCAAGCCAGCACTGGGGAGCATTAGTTCTCATCCCAGATGGGTAAGGTTCATGGTGAGATGATCCTTTCTGGTAGGGCAAAGAATCAAAGTTGGAGCTCTTCTGCACTGGTGTGAGGTGGTCCCCTGAGAGGGGTGTGTGCATGGGTCAGAGGCTCTCCAGGCACGAGAATAAACAGGCTTTCGGGGCTCATATCAACATTCCTTTATTAACATTCCAACTTTTCCAGAGAAATCACATGCAAACCAAAAAGTACTATAGAAAAAAACACTCGGCACCAGCTCCTTCCAGCTGTGCCGATGCAGGGGCAGCATGCATGTGGAGCAGGGGCTCTGGTGCAAGCTGAGGCAGGAGGGGCACACAGCTGGGGCATGGTAAAGAGGCATGGGGATTTCCATACTTTGCTGCTCTGCTCCCTTTTGTGTGTCACCAGAAAGGAGGCTGAATGTATTCTCCCTCTGTACACCCCAGGAATCAAGGTTTTCCAGAGGTACAGCATTGTTGAGGTCAGGCTGGGGTGCAGGCCTGACTGCGATCTCTGACTCGGGATAACAAGCAGCAGGAGCCTGGCTGTTCTCCAGCCATTAGTAGAATAGAGGTTTTCTTCCAGCCCAAACATGAAATGGGCTCAGAGGACAACAGCACCTCAGCCTGGGGGACAGTTGGGCAAGGCATGGTGCTGAGTTTGGGACTGTTAACTGGGCTAGTACACTGAGTGCAAGGAAGAAACCAACATGCAGCATGCATGGGAGGGCTGTGCTGAAACCATGGTGCAGCTGAGGCTCTGAGCAGTCCACCTCCCAGATCAAGAGAGGAGTCTGCCCTGCCAAGCTGGTGCAACTGTGTCCTGCCCTTTGGAGAGCTCAGACCCTGCTCAGAGCAGGGACCAAGGGTGGGGAACATACATAGTGTAAGAGCCAGAGGCATAACAGAGCAGCTGAGCACCCAGGGCAGCAGTGATGCATGGAGGCTGCGGCAACTTCTGGCTGTCAGTGCTGCTAGTGCAGTTGCAACAGCAGCTATTATGCTTCTGTCCCCTCTGCCTCAAAATAAGCATCTGGTGCTGCTTCCCCAGTCACCCTGCCCTAGTTACGCTACTGGCAAGAGCATCAGGGGAGGAGAGGGATGCATAGACAATCAAGGTGAGAGATGGGGGAGAGGGCAGGGTCTATGCTCTGTAGGAGGCAGGAAGTGCTAATCCCCAGGCTGAGAAGTGGAGATGGCACAAACTCAAAGGAGCGTCCTGGGGAGGCCAGAGCAGCACATCCTTGGGAACAAACATGAGGAAGCGAGACTGATTCTTCTGAAAGCTGATGGGGCGCTGGGGGAGTCAGGAACATGGCTGGGCGTCATCTTCTCTGCAAAGGGGATGCTCCATCTGTCACTTCTCAGCCACTGCAGGCAAAAACAGAGTGAGAGCCAGAGCTACCTCCCTGCCTTCACCCCTCCTTCCCCTCAGTCCCCTCCCTGCCGAGACAGGGCAGTCCCACCTGTGCTGCCTGTCCAAGGCAGAGAGCTGGCAGCTTGCAGGAAAAGGAGTGTAGGCTGGAGTGTGACCAGCCTGAGGCACCTTCCCTTTCCTTGACCAGGCACTGTACTGAAACAGTGCAGGCTTCCCTGGGCTGGAGGGCATGGCAGAGTGGGGCTGGCATGGGGGGAGCACAGCACAGGACAGTGATCAGTGTCCACTCCAGGGCCAAATAGATCCCACCAGACAGAGACTCTTTGCCCCACATCAACCCCTCCCCCCTCCAGCAAAGGAGAGACCTGCCCTGGGCCAAGGGGTTTGCAGAGCCAAGCCAAGGGGGTTGCAGAGCTCTACAGCCCTCCCTGGAAGATGGGTGCAAAGGGTCACAGCCCCAACACCCCTGTCCCAGGCAGAGCCATGGCAGGGCATCACTCTTGCTCCCTCCTGAAGGCCCTGTGCCTTTCTTTCCCCAAAGGATTCTGGGAATCTTCCCCACCTCTAATGTGAGTGCTGGTCCTGCACTGAAGAGATGCTGTATTCCATGATGGCAGTGATGGTCACACCCTGCCCCAGAGCCTGGCAACCTCATGCTAATTAACAACAAAGAGAGCCCCTTGCATTCTCCCACGCCCCAGGACATGCCTGAAAAAGCCCCCTGCAAGGGAAATCAATTGCAACTCTGAGCATAAGCACCCCAAATCCTCTCAGTGACCGGGGAAACAGCAGTGCCTGCCACACTAATGTCCCCATCATTTACATCATGCCATCATACATCATGCTCTGGAACAGCCTGCCACCGGACGTGGTTCAAGCGCCCACATTGAACACCTTCAAGAGCAAACTGGATGCTCATCTTGCTGGGATCCTATGAACCCGGCTGACTTCCTGCCCTTTGGGCGGGGGACTGGACTTGATGATCTTCCGAGGTCCCTTCCAGCCCTAATGTCTATGAAATCTATGAAAATTTCCAAGTGAAAAGACCCCAGCTTGACATAATGTCCCTTATTAAAGAACCCAGAGAAGAGGCAGGATAAAAGAGAAAGTGCCTCTCTGGGCTGTGTAGGTGGCATTTGCTCTGCACTCAGCATCCCCAGAGACGGGAACCAGGCCTGGAGCCGTCACCATTGGTAATCACAGCACATCCAGGCTGTTCACTTCTCTCCAACCACCCTAACAAATCTGTGCAGAAACTAACAAGATGACATTTGGTGAAGAATAATAAAGTCCCTTGGGACTAGCAGCGGTTCTTGCACAACTCTCGATTCCTCTTCAGAGAGAGCTGGAAGAAGATATGGGATCCACGGGGGTGGGGCACGGCTGGCAGGCCTCACCCATGAGCCTGAGTTTCTCCCCTTGCTCTCCTCTGCCTGCTTACACTTACTCCATCCTAATTTATTTTACATGGGGAGACCAGGCCCATCAGGCCTTTGTTCTGCAAACTCCCACCTGAGCCCATCCCTTAACTTGGGGGTCCTTGCTCACAGCGAATGCTGAAGTGCTGCAGAACCTCAGGGCAGGTAACACACAATCCTATGTAGCACAGGCTGCCCGAGAAACATAGGCATGTGATTCAAAGAAGGCAGGACCCAAAGCATGAAATGAACTGGAGCCAGAGAAGAAAAGAGGAAAGTAGAATGAACGAACAGGGGCCCAGAGTGAGACACTCATCAGTTCAGACAGCCACAGAGGAGCTGCAGAGCACACAGGCAGCCCCTGTCCAACCACTCTCCAGCCCCATTCAGTTGAGAACCTCCTTTAGGTTTGGGTCTTAGAAGCAGCTGCAGCTGACA